GTTGAAAAAAAAATTTTAAAAAAAAGGGGACGCCTGGGTGGCGCAGTCAGTTAAGCGTCCGACTTCAGCCAGGTCACGATCTCGCGGTCCGTGAGTTCGAGCCCCGCGTCGGGCTCTGGGCTGATGGCTCAGAGCCTGGAGCCTGTTTCCGATTCTGTGTCTCGCTCTCTCTCTGCCCCTCCCCTGTTCATGCTCTGTCTCTCTCTGTCCAAAAATAAATAAACGTTGAAAAAAAATTTTTTTAATAAAATTACATTGACAATTTGTTATTTGGGTATTGAGTTTGGTAAGTTCTTTATAGATTTTGGATACTAACCCTTTATCCCACATGTCATTTGCAAATATCTTCTCCCATTCCACCGGTTGGCTTTTTTTGTTGATTGTTTCCTTCACTGTGCAGAAGCTTTTTATTTTGATGTGGTTCCAGTAGTTCATTTTTGCTTTTGTTTCCCTTGCCTCTGGAGACATATTTAGTAAGAAGTCACTGTGACTGAGGCCAAAGTGTTTGTTGCCTGTTTCCTCTAGGGTTTTGATGGTTTCCTGTCTTACATTTAGGTCTTTCATCCATTTTGAGTTTATGTTTGTGTATGGTATAAGAAAGTGGTCCAGGGGCGCCTGGGTGGCGCAGTCGGTTAAGCGTCCGACTTCAGCCAGGTCACGATCTCGCGGTCCGTGAGTTCGAGCCCCGCGTCGGGCTCTGGGCTGATGGCTCGGAGCCTGGAGCCTGTTTCCGATTCTGTGTCTCCCTCTCTCTCTGCCCCTCCCCCGTTCGTGCTCTGTCTCTCTCTGTCCCAAAGATAAATAAACGTTGAAAAAAAAAAAAAAAAAAAAAAAAAAAAAAAAAAAAAAAAAGAAAGTGGTCCAGGTTTATTCTTCTGAATGGATAAAGAAGATACGGTGTATATACATACAGTGGTATATTACTCAGTGATCAAAAAAAATGAAATCTTGCCTTTTGCAACAATGTGGATGGAACTAGAACGTATTTTTTTTAATTTTTTTTAACGTTTATTTATTTTTGACACACAGAGAGACAGAGCATGAACGGGGGAGGGTCAGAGAGAGGGAGACACAGAATTGAAACAGGCTCCAGGCTCTGAGCTGTCAGCACAGAGCCCGACGCGGGGCTCGAACTCACAGACCGCGAGATCATGACCTGAGCCGAAGTCAGCCGCTTAACCGACTGAGCCACCCAGGCGTCCCGTAACTAGTATGTATTATGCAAAGCAAAATTAACCAAAGAAAGACAAATATCATATGATTACACTCATATGTGGAATTTAAGAAAAAAAACGGATGAATATAGGAGAACAGAAGGAAAAGTAGGATAAAAACAGAGAGGGAGGCAAACCATAAAAGGCGTTTAAAGACAGAGAGCAAACTGAGGGGTGTTGGAGGGGTGTTGGGCAGGGGGATGGGCTAAATGGGTGATGGGCATTAAGGAGGACACTTATTGGGAAGAGCACTTGGTGTTATATTTAAGTAATGAATCACTAAATTCTACTGAAACCGTTATTACACTATATGTTAACGCCCTTGGATTTAAATTTTTAAAAAAATTAGTGACCATTTTGTATTTCTGCCCTTTGCATTTTCATATAAACCTTTAAGTCAGTTTTCAATTTTCAACAACAATGCATCCCCTCCTCCACCAAAAAAAATAAATAAATAAAAGCAAAACCAAAAACAAATATCTGGAGTTTGATTTTTGATGGTATCATATTCATTAATTGATTTTGAGAACATTGACATCATAACAATATTAAGTCTTAAAAATAAATGAGGATGGCTTATCCCTCTATTATGTAGATCTTCTCTGTCTAGTAATGCTTTGCACTACTTTGCAATTGTCAATGTAGAAGCTGTCTTGCGTGTCTTTTATTTAGTCTTCCTAGGTTATAAATGCCTTTAAATGCTATCAATCTCACATCATGATTCTAAGACTCTTTATAAAAATTTCATTTTTTACCATTGTAAAGCTATAAAGACATAAAGTCACAGGGCTGCTACAATTTCGGCTTGTGAAGGAACAGCAAGACAACTTAAGCCAAAAAAAACAATATTTAGTAAAAATCACAAACCACAGAATTTCCATGTGCAATCGAAACAGTACAAATGCATGTTTTGTAGGTTTTTCCCTGACTTCTCACTCACTATGTTGGAAATATATATCCATGTAACTAACAATTATTTACAAATGTCACTGGATAAATATAGTATGCTGTAATTTGTCTGGCCTACCTACAATTGGGTGTTTAATGTGTCTTCATTTTATTCTGTATTGTAACTCACATCATAATTGCTCTATACAAATGTATATTTCTTATATCTAAAAATTAATTTATTATTACATTAAAAATAGCTTAAAAAGTATGTTAATATATTAAACTCTTTACACATTTCTAAATCACTTTCCAGAAAGCAGGTGCTAATTTATACTAGGTTTAAGATGATAGTAAGGTATGCTTCTCACCATCAAATATTATTCTCAATGCCCAAATAACACAAAAATAATGGTTACATATTCATTTACTTTGTATTTACTTAATCACAAGTTAGGTAGAACTTTTTCATGTTTCTTAGTCATATGTTCAATTTCATGAGATTTTTTTTGCACTGATCTATATCAGTGTGTGTGTGTGCATGTGTGTGCATGCACACATATACATAATATACACATATATTGTGATATACATATATATTATGTGATGTTGTCTCTGATACCAACTGGGTGTCCCACAATTCCATATAAGTCAATTCTGACACTATTTGGAGTTAAAATCCGATTGCACAACTTGAAAGGTTCAATGCCACAAGACTGCCCCCACTTCAGATACCAGATGCAAATCCCACACCATCCACACTTTTGACCAACTGGCTATAAATTGGAGATTTCCATGGCCCCCTCCTCAGGGTTGCTAATTTGCTCATTTGGCTCACAGAACTCAGGAAAACACTTTACTTATGCTTACCAGTTTATTACAAAGGATACAACTCAGCAACAGCTAAATGGAAGGAATATAGAGTGCAAGATATATTGGGAGTGAAGGGGCAAGGAGGAAGTCATAGTTTCCATAACATCTCCAAACATCTCATCATTGCAGCAAGTTGATTTGTTCATCAGTTTAGAAAGTCTCTGAATCTCAATGTTCAAAAGTTTTTAGAAAGTTCAAACTCTAGCCACACCACTTTCCTTTCTGATGGTCTGTGAGTGAGGCTAAAAGTTTAAACTCTAGTCATTTGGTCTTTCTGGTAACCAACCCCATCCTGAACCTGTCTAGAAACCCCACCCTAAGTCACTTCATTAGCATAAACTCAGGTTTGATTGGGAGGGGATGAATAACAAAAAACATTCCTATCACACAGGAAATTCTAAGGGGATTTAGATGCTCCATGCCAGAAACCAGGGACAAAGACCAAATTGTACCACACACACACACACACACACACACACACACACCATTTTAGTGTGTACTAATGAAAGATTAAATTAGTTAATGAATTTACGCATTTGCTCTGTCATATTTATTGTAAATTATTTTTTCAGTTTAGATTATCTTTGAAAGGATGACATATTATTTTTAATGTAGTCAGTACTAGTATCTTTCTTTGCAATACCTCATTTTTATGTCAGAATATCTTTTCTCATTCTGAGATGTTTACTAGTCACCTCCATTTTCCTCTGAATTGTCATTTCTTAAAATATTATATCTTAATGCAAATATTTTAATAAAATGTGAGATATTTGTTTACTTTTTTCCTTTGGTCAACTATTTTTTAAAACTTTTTATTTATTTATTTTGAAAGAGAGCAAGAGAGGGTGAGCATGGGAGAGGCAGAGAATGAGGAAGAGGGTGAATTCCAAGCAGGCTCCACACTGTCAGCACAAAGCCCAGTGCAGGTCTCAATCCCACAAATCATGAGATCATGACCTGAGCTGAAACCAAGAGTCACACACTTAACCAACTGAGCCACCCAGGCACCCCAGTCAACTAATTTTTTAATGGTACCAATTTAAAAATCTTTTATTCTGTTTCTCAAAATGTTTAAGAAAAAATAAAGCTTAAACTCTGTTTTATTATTGTGTCTTGTGGCAAGGCCAAATTTTATATATGTATGTATGTATATGTGTGTATGCATATATATATGTATATATGTATGTGTATATATATATATATGTACGTGTGTGTGTGTGTATATATATATATATATATATATATATATAAACTTGATATGTATATCAAACTTATTCCCCTTGTCAATTACAGAAAGATCAAATTCTTGGCTTGGCTTTTTTTTTTTTTTTTTTTTTTTTGCTTTTCTTTGTTGTTCTTAGGTTGTTCTGACTTGCTTTTCTGGCATATTATCTGATTCTTTTTTGTTCCTTGTTCATACAAATTTTTGCAGATTAGATCTTGGCCTAACAAAGAGGCTTAGATTGTTAAGTATGAAAAAACAAGTTTAAATATCTACAGCAAAACTTATAATAAAAGAATGACAGATAATGAAGCAAGCATTCCATTGACTAAAAGAAATTCCATCCTTCCAATCTTAAGATCATGACACAGTAACCAAAATTTGTAACATTATTTATAAATGAAAAATTTGAAATCTCCTTCTCTCTCTCTCTGTCTCTCTCTCCAGGAGGAACTGCTTGATATCTCAGTGAAGATTCAGTTTGTCCAGGGAGGAAGTGAGTTCAGGGTCTTCCCAGACTACCATGTTGGACCTCATCCTTCCTTATATCTCTCACTTTTTTTCTTTCTCATGCACAAACACATTCATACACAGATACTCAGACACACAAACATCGTATATGGAACAAAGTAAAATTTTTATTTACCTTATTTTGACCACATATCGTGCCATTATGCACTTGAGTAAAATCATACTCTGAAGATTGTGTTTCATTTCTCAAATATGCTGACAAACATATATGGCCTCCAAGGTAAGTATATTGAACATTAAAAGTTTTTACTGGTACTATCTGTGAATGTGTCCAGTGACAAACTATCTTTCCACAAAGGATATGCCTGGCAATATAAGGCAAAAAAAGGTTGCTCATATGTCTCTTAGGAACACAATATATTAAATCATTAACAATTCAGAACATGAAGATAATTCAAAATGTTATTCAGATCATAACACCAAAGTTATTCAGAACATATGAAGCATGACAAATAAATTTATCTGTATATACTAGGTTCATCTCTCATTTATATTAACTTATTTTTGCGTGCGCACGCACGCACACACACACACACACACACACACACAAACATGCATTTTAAAAAGCATAGTAGTCTTGAGCACCTGAGTGGCTTAGTCAGTTTGGCGGCCAACTTCCACTCAGGTCATGATCTCATGGTTCATGGGTTCAGGCCCCACGTCAGGCTCTGTGCTGACACCTCTGAGCCTAGAGCCTGTTTTGGATTCTGTGTCTCCCTCTCACTTCTACCCCCCTCCCCACTCATGATCTATCTCTCTCTCTGTGTAAAAAGTAAATAAACTTTTTTAAAAAAATTTTAAGTATAGTAGTCTAAATACACACCGAAAATTGCAACCATGTTTGGCACAGTTTCCAAATTGATCTGCGTGAAAATTCACTTCTTGTGCACATAGATAAGTAGAAACTTTAGCAACTGAAAATATAAATAGTTACAATTACTATCTTAAAAAAAACAAAAGTGGTAAATTAATATAGAAACATCTGGACAACAGCAATGCCCAGTAAGTGTCATCTACTATAATTTTTTAGTGTCATCTACTGGCTATACAAGAAGGAGAAACACTAAAAACTACCCACTTGAGAACAGGAAGATTGTGTCAAAGGCAGAAATGATTAAGAAAGCAGTCATTTGCTCTCTTACCTACAATTCTAATATTCTACTCCTCTTTGCGCCAATCACTTGAAATTTGATTAATATACTATTTTTTTTTGTTCTGTACTTATTAGGCCTATTTTGCCTCTTGATATAGTTAAAAGTCATAATGATTAACTATTTTTTTTCAAATTTGGATTTTAAACAAACATTACCCTTTATTATGGCTATAGGATGTTTTACTGACTGTAGAAAAATACAGTTTGAAAAGGAACCCCAGAAAAAAGATACAGCTATTACATTTTCCAAATAATGCTTCACACTGTACATCTGGATCTCGGCATATTCCCTCATAGCAATAGGCAGTATTATTATTACATGGTTCTAAATCAGCAGATTTCACATCAGGTACACAAGCCTCAGATGTTCCATTGCAAAATTCTGGAAAATCACATGGATCTGTCGTTTTCCTACATAAACGTCCTCTTTCAGCTATCTATGAGACAAAGAAAAACAAATATATTTTTAAAGTAGTAAACCAAAAAATGTAAAAAAAATTAAACAAGAACAGTGTATTTCTATCATTTCCATTATTATTGCATTTTAACTACTTAAACTACTTTAAGTCAAATTACGAATTTACTTGAAACCGCGAGTGAAATAGATTGGAAAAAACCTAAATGTTCATCAATGAATGAATAGATTAATAAACTGTGGTATATTCATGCAATGGAATATTTTCAGCCATATAAAGGAACACTGATACATAGGCTACAAGATGAATGAATATTCAACACTATGTTAAGTGAAGAAATCCAGACACAAAAGGTCACATATTCTATGGTTCGTATGAAATAACCAGAATAGGTTACTCCAGACAGAACACAAATTGGTGCTGTCCAATTGGTGTTGTCCAGCCAGGACTGAGGGGAAGGAAGAAAGGAGAGCAAGTGCTTAATGCTCCAGGAGTCTCCTGTTTGATTGAGGAACTTGTTTTGGAACTAGATAGAGGGCAGTTGCATAACACTGAATGTACTGAATATCACTAAATTGTTCACCTGCAAATGGTAAGTTTTATGGCAAGTTTTTCTTCACCTAATCCTTTTAAAGGCTCTACCAAATGTAAGAATTGTCCCCATTTTAAAGAACTGCCCTTTGGGTTGTAGAGAAAGGGCAATGGGCTGTGTAGAAAAGCCTTATTTGTTCAATCCTGCTGATTTGGAAACAAAGGACAAGGTGAGCGCTCTGGTGAAGGGAAGAGCAACAAGGTATATTGCCAAGTAGCAGAAACTACGTTTGCATCCTTGAAGACAAGGGACAAGTGGCTTTAATTATTAGCATAAACAGTGAAAAACACACACAGAACAAAGTAGAATTATATTAGGATAGATTTTACTGACAGACAACCTGGCAAATTTCTAATCAGATTTTGATTGTCGTTGACTCCTGAAAGTGACACAAAAAAGGCAAGATGAAGCAATCCCCAAAAGTCAAATCTTACTGAGTCTCCTTTCAGGTGTGGCTATAAAGAAATGTGAAGGGGAAATTTCCCAAAGGAAGTTAAGGATTCAATTCAGTTCCAGGACCAGCGGTCCCTTGAAAAGATAAAACTTGAATAGTAGACATGCTATATGTTGCTGACTACTCTACATGGACTCCTTTTCTGCTATTCTCAAAATGAGAGCTTTATTGTTATTGTTATTATTATTATTATTATTTGTTTATTCAAACATTGTACATCAACTGTGTGTTGGGTGCCTTATTTTTAATTTTTTGTCATAAGTTGCTTGGTTATGAAGAGCTACATTCAGATATGACCAAGAGAAATTCATAGCACCCAAATAATCTGGAATTGATATTGAATAATAACTGGATGGGCCCTGAGTAGAGACTAAAAACAGTGCAATGGAAGGCATAGCTAAGAAGGCTGAAAAAGATCTAAGTACATCTTCTGAACTTAGAAATCAATTATGTATGAATCAGGTCCATAAAGTTACATATTTGAAGTTGTGCAAAAAAACAAAGCTTAAAAAATGCTAAAAAAATGGACACACAAGAACACAAATTATGAAAGGAAATCATGTAGTATTTTGAAAGCTTACCAGACAAGTTCTTCTATCACAGCATGGTCCACTGCCACACTCTGCATTTCCAATTAGAGTACAACTTACAGGATTACAGCATTTTTTGTGAGTGCATTCCTAAAAGCAAACAGAAAAAAATAACAGGAATTTTCAATGAAATATGTAATTGTATTTATTGTCAAAATACACAAAATATTTCCCTAAGTTAATTACAATCATAGTATGATTTTTACTTCTGTATTTATTTTTAACACCACTTCAGTTAAACTTATATTTTCAGCATTGGAAAAACAATGGTAATGAAATCATTCATTCTTCCATGCTCAAGGAATTGACTGTAAAAAACTCAATGCAGTTTCTTTCAATCTTATAGGAATATATAAATGTATGCACTCTAAATTCTTAGATTTTTTTCATTCATTGTATCATTAGTACTTTTCTATCTTACCAAACCTCTTCAAGATATCATCTTTGGAATATTTAATAACTTATGGATGTGACAGAATAGAGGTTCTAAATTATAACAATGTTTTATTAACATAAATAATGTTTCAAAGAAAAAAGTTTGTAATTTTTTTACTCACAGACCTTACATTAAATATTAATTCTAGAAATTATTAGATAAGAGAGCACAAAAATATTAATGGCTCTTCATAATATACTTCAATTTCCTTCTTCCTGTAGCATAAAATAATGGTATGTCACAAGACTGATAGTAATATTTAAAAATTAGTAAAGTGGATAGTCACAAATCACTATGTGTTTCTACTTGCTTCAATATTAATATTTTTATTATTAGTATACAGAAAATTTTACATACTTGCACACTATTATTTATTTAATATTTCTGTGTCTATATTTATGTTGATGTATTCATGTGTTTATTTCCTTTATTTGTAAGCATTATATTAATGATATTAAGCCCTAGCCACCAACATATATCACTACATTTAAAATTTGTCATGACAACTTACTTTTGTTTGGGTGGGGTTTTTTTGGTAACTTTTTGATATTGTGGTATTGTGAAATGGTCGACTCATAAAATCTAAGAACTATCATCTTTTTTTCTGGTTTTGTTCTTTAAGTTTATGGATAAAACTTTATTCCACCATGATCCCACTAAATATGTGAGTTTATAGTATGTGTGTAAAATGTTTGTGTTATATATATGTATGCATTTCTTTTCACTTTACATTGAGTTTTTTTAGTATAATTCACACATTATATATTAGTTTCAGGTGTACAACTTTGTGCTTTGACAAGTTTATGTTATTCACAATATCAATGACTATATCCCTTACACTATGCACTTTATTCCTGTGACTTATTCATTCCATAGCCTGTATCTCCCTCTCCCAATTCACCCATTTACCCAACCATTCCCTTCATACCGCTCTAGGAACCATCATTTTGTTCTCTGTATTTATAGATCTGATTCTGCTTTTTGCTTGTTCATTTGGTGGGGTTTTTTTTTGTTTTTTTGTTTGTTTTGTTTTAGATTCAACTTATGAGTGCAATAGTATGTTACTTGTCTATCTCAGTCTGTTTTCACTTAAAAAATGTCATCTAGGTACATCCATGTTGTCTCAAATGGCACAATCTCAACCTTTTCTACAGCTGCATTGTATCTCATTGTGTGTGTGTGTGTATGTGTGTGTGCATGGTACATATATATATATACACACACATATAAATGTGTGTATATAAATATATATATATTTATTTTTTTATATTTATATATACACACACCATGGTATATATACCACTTTTCCTTATCCACTCATCCATTGACGGTAGGTAGCTTCCATGTCTTGGCTATTGTAAATAATGTTGCAATAAGTGTAGAGGTGGATGTATATTTTTGAAATAGTGTTTTTGCTTTCTTTGGGTAAATATTGGTAGTGGAAATATTGAATCATATGAATTTCTATTTTTCATTTTTTGAGGAACCTCCATACTTCATTCCCTAATGGCTCCACCAACAGTATACAGGGGCCCTTTCTCCTCATCCTCTCTAATATTTATTTCTTATCTTTTTGATTGTTACCCATTCTTTCTGGTGTAAGGTGAGATCTCATTGTGATTTTGATTTGCATTTCCCTAATGATTAGTGATGTTGAGCATCTTTTCATGTGTCCATTGGCCATTTGGATGTCTTCTTTGAAAAAAATGTCTATTCAACTTCTCTGCCCATTTTTAAATAATGTTGAGTCATATAAATTCTATATATTTTTTGTATATTAATCCCTTATCAGGCATCTCATTTGCAAATATCTCATCCTAATCAGTAGGTTGCCTTTTTTTCTTTTTTTTTTTCTTTTTTAATTTTATTTTCAGTATATTTAACATACAGTGCTATATTAGTTTCAGATTTCATACATCACACAGTGTTCATTATGACAAGTGCACTCCTTAATCCCATCACCTAATTAACTCATTACCTCAGCTACCTCTCCTCTGGCAAACATCTGTTTCTTCCCTATAATTAAGAGTCTGTTTCTCAGTTTGTGAGGATGTTGAGAAAGGGGAACCCTTTGCACTGTTGGTGGGAATGCAAACTGGTTCAGCCACTCTGGGAAATAGTAAGGAGATTCCTCAAATAGTTAAAAATAGAACTACCCTATGACCCAGCAATTGCACTACTAGGTATTTAACCAAAGAATACAAAAATACTACTGAGTATATATTCCCAAAATACAAAATACTCATTCAAAGGAATGCATGCACCCCAGTGTCAATAGCAGCATTAACTACAATAGCCAAATTATGGAAACAGCCCAAGTGTCCGCTGATTTATAAATTGATAAAGAAGATGTGACATGTATGTACAATGGAATGTTATTCAGCCATAAAAAAGAATGAAATCTTGCCAATTGCAATGACATGGATGGATCTAAAGAGTATTATGCTAAGTGAAATAAGTCAGAGAAAGACAAATATATGATTTCACACATATGTGAAAGTTAAGAAACAAATGAGCAAAGGGGAAAAAGAGAGCCAAACAAAGAAACAGACTCTTAACTATAGAGAACAAACTGATAGTTACTAGAAGGGGGATGCATGGGGAGACGTGTTAAACAGGTGATGGGGTTAAGAACTGAACTTGTTTTGATGAGCACCAGGTGCTGTATGGAACTGTTGAATCACTATATTGTATATCTAAAAGTAATATTACACTGTACGTTGATTAGAATTTAAACTTTTTTTAAAGTCTATTTTGTCTAAGTAAGTATTGCTACTCTGGGTTTCTTTTGACATCCATTTCCCTGATTAGTGTTTCTCTATCTCCTCACTTTCAATCTGCAGGTGTCTTTAAGTCTGAAATGAGTCTTTTGCTTCGAGTCCATTCACATTCCAAGTAACTTTTGATAGATATTTATTGCCATTTTATTATCTGATTTGTGATTTTTTGATAGCTTTTCTCTGATCCTTTCTTCTCTTTATCTCTTTCATAGTTTTTTGGTTTTCTTTAGTGATACACCTGAATACCTTATTCTATTTTTTGCAGAATTTCTATTACTGTTTTTTTTTATTTGTGGTTACTACAAGGTTTATATATAACAACTTCTACATATAGCAGTCTATATTAAATTGATGGTAGCTTAATTTTGATCTCATTAATTACTCCTCTCCCTTTCACACTTCAGATATTAGGCATCATATTTTATATCCTTTTATGAAAACCTTGGCTACTTTTTACAGAAACACATATTTTTACCTTTATATTTTTTTATATTTTTTATATTTTTTACTTTTCATATTATCACTTATGGTCTTTGCACTCAAAGGGCCCCCTTTAATATCTCTTGTAGAGCTAGTTTAGTAGTTATGAAATCCTTTAGTTTTTCTTTGTCAGAGACTCTTTATCTCTTCTTCTATTCTGAATGATAGCCTTGCTAGGTAGAACATCTTGGATACAGATTTTTCCCTCAGCACTCTGAATACATCATGCCAGTCCCTTATGGCCTACAAAAACTTCTGCTGAAATTAACCTCATAGCCTTGTGGGGTTTCCATTATATGTAAATGTTTTCTTTTCATTTACAACCTTTAAAATTCTTTATCACTATTTTTTTTCCCATTTTAATTACTATGTGCCTTGGTGTGGGCCTCTTTGGGTTGAATTTGCTGGGGGATTTCTGTGCCTCCTGAATTTGGATCTCTATCTCTCTTCCCAAATTTGGGAAGTTTTCAACTATTATTTTATCAAATACATTTTCAGCCCCCATTCCCTCTCCTCCCCTCTGGGATCCCTAATGTGAATGTGATTATGCTTAATGGAGTCACTGAGTTCTCTAATTATATTTTCATAATGCAGTATTTGTCTCTCCCTTGTTCAGTTTGATTGCTTTCCATTACTCTATCCTCCAGATCACTGATACATTCCTCTGCTTCCTGTAGCCTAATATTTATTACATCTATTATATTTTTAATTTCATTAATTCAGTTATTCATCTCTGATATGTTATTTTGTATCTATTTGTCAAGAGTCTCACTGATGCCCTCCATGTTTTTCTCAAGTCAAGTGAGTATCATTACTTTAAATTCTCCATCAGGCATATTATTTATCTCTGTTTCCCTTCTTGTGGCCTACTATTTAATTCATCCACTGCTTTTTAAAATTTTTTTTCACATTTATTTATTGTTGAGAGACAGAGACAGAGCATGAACAGAGGAGGGACAGAGAGAGGGGAAGACACAAAATCCGAAGCAGTCTTCAGGCTCTGAGCTGTCAGCAAAGAGCCTGATGCTGGGCCCAAACCCATGAACCACGAGATCATGACCTAAACCAAGGTTGGACACTTAACTGACTGAGCCACCCAGGTTCCCCTCCATTGCTTTTTAAATTTCATTTATTGAGTTCTTTATCTCTGATATGTTATTTTTATGTCTTTGTCCAGAGTCACCACTGATGTCATCCACTTTTTTTGGAAGCCCAGTGAGTATCTTTACAATCATTAAATTCTCTATCAGGCATATTACTTCTTTTTGTTTCAATTAAGTTCCCTGCTATGATTTTGTCATGTTCTTTCATTTGAGACAAATTCCTCTAATTTTGTCTATCTCTCTGTGTCTGTGTGTTAGGAAAATCACCTACATCCTCTGCTCTTGAAAGTA